GCTTCCGAGCTCTATGACATAGGTCATGTAGGGAAGCCCCTCAACAAAGCCCAGAAAGGCAGGTCAGCAAGTGTGAGCACATCTTCGGCAGAAGTCGATTGTCTTGAGCGTGTTTTGAACCTCAACATTTTCCAAGACACTCCATGGTTCTGGCAAATTTACATATATTTACCATATATATTTGAATCTTGTAACTACCGATTTAAATTTTTGTAACTACTGAGTATACCATATAATTTTTCCATATATATTTACAGTAAACACCATGAACTGATTGGGCTTGGGACCTTTTGGAAGACGGGCGACACGAACCACGACTACGACGACCCACGACAGACGACCGCGTCGTGCAGAGGTCATCGTGGCCTCGGCGTTGGGTGCTGGCATCTCTTACCTCCGCAGGTGCGGGGCGTGGGGGATATTGTAGACCGGCATGGACCCAGTTGAGAAGCAAGAACCCCTATATAGCTATTGCTATCAACAAAAGTGAACATTGTTCATGTCCAGTTTCGCAGAAAACACGGGGGAATGCTTTTGTTCTGCCCTTTGGGCGAAACAGCACACATTTCGTTTGCCGTGAAAAACGCCGTTTCATTTCAACAGTGCTGTTTCACCTTTTTTTTGCGGAGCTTGCCAAAGTAGCGGTCTGCAAAAGTCGCCGTTTGGTCGGGGAAGTCACCGCTTGGTTGGGAAAAGTCGCCGCTTCAACCCCTTGCCCTTGACTTCCTGTAGCAGTAAAAACATTGCAACGCAAAAAGTGCATCAAGGATTGAAAAGGCAGAAACAAAGCATAGCTAAGAAGAACTTATATGTGTCCTTACATATGGAATATGTTCACCAAAGAAGAAGTTGCCTGAACTTGTTGGATTTAATGACTTAAGCATCCCGTTTCGGTCTGCCTTCGGAACGACTGTTTCGGACACATCGACATGCCTTTCGAACCTCTCGATGTCGAAGCATCAGCTCCCACAGAAACAACACACATGGGGCAACAGTGTAGTAGACAGGCTTCAAGCATGGATGCTCAATATAGTATACAGGGTAGTATACAGGGTAGTATATAGTATTCCTAGAGTGGACATTCCGCTTCGGACCTCGACTCGTTGAAGAGAAGCTCAAGCCGACCACCATCACATAGTGTAGAACACCCAAGGCTAGAGACCCACGGAAAACTCTCTGAACGACCTTTCACCACAAAGGTCCACACACGAAGTCCACACCATCCAACCACCATCCGCAACTCTTCCCACACACAAAACCATCCAAAACACCATCCAAAACACCATCCATTCCAACCACCATCCGCACCACCCCGCCACAGTTCTTCGTGTCCTCGCAGTTACTCGGGCGATGTGGTCGGCCGACCTCCCCCGGGCTCTGAGCTTCGCATCACCGGCGAGCTGGGCGTCGCCTGGGCGAGCAACGTGCGCGGCGCGAAGGAGCAAGGAAACCAGGGGCGAAGATGGCAGTCTCACCGTAGGGTGTGGATTCCGTGTGGATGTGGAAAGGATGAAATTGGTGAACATACCTCCGAATCCAGTGCTTGGGCTTGGGTCGAAAAATGAACGATCCTCCGAAATCCGGGGGTTCATGGATGATGATTTGTCAAGTCGGTCAACGGAATACATCAGCGTGCTTGCGAACTGTGTCCTCAAGTGTGATTTTATATAAATACTATTGGGAGAATCATCTACATAGCTTCTAGTTGCATAATATATGTTTTGCAAATACACACCCTCTAAAGGATTAACTATATGTGAGGGTAGAAACTCAGGCCACAAAGGAAATTCGTGGAAATTGAAAATCTTCCAAGCATCTTCCCATCACGTCAGAGGACTTCCCAAGTGTGGAGGAGGGGTAGACCTTTAGATGGAGGCACGGCATGTGGAACAGAATTCTTCGCACGGGCACCCTTTGTAACGTGTGCACAGATGTGTCACTTGGCGGGCAAAGAACGCATCGGAAGATGTGTGTACTAGTGCCAGTGATCAACCATCCACCTCAGCCCGTACAGCTTAACACGGAAGAGTCTAAAGCCAGCACCCTTCTATACAGCCTGTAACACCGAAACGCTCTCGTACTCGTGCAGACTCGGCTCTGCCTAGGCAGACCTCACCAGCTGGGTGCACCAGTGGCCTTGGGAGATGCCCTTGGAACCTCGGGCGGGTCGTTCTGACTTGCTCCAGCGGTCGGACGGAAGTGTTTCAGATTCCAAGTGCCACTCAAGATGGGGAGGAGAAGAGGAGGAAAGGTGGTAACCCCTCTGGACAATGTGTTTGTGGGTCAAATGTCCAACGTTGCTTGACCTTGGATAATAGCACTTACACCAGGCGGCAGGTTCCGCCTGCCTGGTGGAGGCATCGAAGTTTGCAGGTGAAGTTGTGGGTAGTGCTTTGTTTGTGTCACAGGGAAAAGTGTGAAGGCAAGGGAAGAGGAAGATGACGAAGGGCAAGAGGAAAAGGAAGAGGAACAGGAGGAGAAGGAAGAGGAAAAGGGAGGAGCAAGAATGCAATCACCAGACCTTCGAACACATCATTATATAACATGAACCCCAAACAGTTTCAGCCTCTTTTTGCGTCAACTCCCTGAATTCCAATGTTGGTGCGCCTGGCGGCCGTCGGGACAAGTCGCTCCGTGCGTCTTCAGGATGAGACGGTGAACCGCCTCGGTGGATGGCCCCTGGCGGTCATGCCCCTGGGCTGCAGTGGTTGTTTCACGCCTGGGCTGTGAAACCGCTCAAACCGGGCTTCGACGGCGAAACCGACACCCTACAAGGCCCTACAACCACATCACATCAGCTTTGATAAAGGTAGCTCGACCCGAAGGCGAGCCGTTTCGGAAAGGCGACGGCGAGCCGGATCGCCACAGTTGGGGGGTATCCATAGAAATCCATATAGCATTCAACAGGGGAACCGGAACTCGGAGCGGTCGTTCTGCACCGAAAAAACCGAGAAACAGGGTGCTCAGATGTGCTGTCCGACCGACACAAAGACCAGTCTTGAATTTGGAACTAAGCCGGCGCGAGGGGAAACAACCGGAACACCAGAATGTAAGAATAGTGGGGAAGGTGTGGTACGAAAATGAAGTCCAATGAGCCAGTCATTAAGCCTCAAGTATCCTCAAATGATGTGCTTGTTAGGGTGTGTGGGGCAGCTTGGTGGGGTGGCAGGACATTCCATAGTTCTTGGACAAATTTGGACAACGTCTTGGGGGGGATGTGCCTTGATTTCTCTTGCCAAACCAGTTGAATCCGTTGTTTGTGGAGACTTGAACCCCCACACTGAGCGCGATTGACACCTTCACAGGGAAGACGGGTGAGCAGTCCACCCGGTTCCAACCTGTTCCACCTGGTTTTGTTGTGTTTCTTTACAACACATGGGTCCACCAAGTAGCCAGCCCTGGTTCCCTCAGCCCAGTGCCACCCTTTTTTAGGTACTCACACTTTTGATGTGCTTGGATCAAGTGTTCATTTGTTGTTCATGTCTTTCTTGGGAACGCAGGCTGTGAAACCACTTTTCCGGAGATGTGCTTTTGTTGTCTTGTTTGTCCTCTGAAAGCCCAAACGTGGCACGGGATTCCCCGATTTGGAGTGAACCGAGAAAAAACGAGATTCGTTGGATCGCAAGTGAGGGATAGGACTCTCTCTCTCTCTCTCTTTCTCTTCCAACAGCGTCGTGTGGATTCCTGAATACTCTCCAAAGTGATCTACCCACCAATGGATCTCGTTAGCCAAAGTCTTCTTTTGACAGAGTGAAAGATGCTCGCAGGTCGGCCGTAGCCTTTGCTTTTGTGGACTACTTAGCAATTATCTCTGTGGAGGTGACTCTTCAAAACGGGTGCTCGGCTCTTGACGTTGTACTGATCATGGTTCATGTGCAGGTAATGTCTATTCCAATCTGGCAAGAGAAGAACCATTGAAAAAGTACTCAGAAAATATACACATCACCATTGGAGTCCGCAACTCATGGAAGAATCACCCGAACATCCTGATTTAGATGATTAATGATGTGTTATGGAACAATTACCATGGGAATTGCTGAAGAACCTGTCACTGATTTGGGAAGAACTGTCCCAACTTTCTTGGGTTCTGCAAGCATCTATGAATCCAAGGCGTCTGGAGAGAAACGCTTAGCGTTGACCGATGTTGACATACTGTAATTTGACCCCGAAGTTGATTTCCATCACTGTAGCATGATGCTGTGATATGCTGTGGATTTGACCCCGAAGTTGATTTCCATCACAGTAGCATGATGCTGTGATATGCTGTGGCAAAGTTGCGGTGAAGCACCTTAGTTTTCGTCAAGGTGACCCTAGGTTTGAGTGAGACATCATTTTCATCCTCTCCATTTACTAGGCTTCATGGGTCACCGATTGCATGAGATTCTTCAATCCATCTGAAGTTGGCAAGTGGCTGAAGTCCCTCCAATTTTACGAACCCTACAAAACGATTCAAGCACAGGTGCTCGAATTGTACTTGAAACCTCCAGCTTTTGCCATATCCGCAAAGGCCCGGCCTCCGAAGCCGTAACCACAAAATCAGCATTGACCAGCCGTGACCGTCCGAACGTGCTGGCCACTTTCCACCGATCCGTCTGAAAAGAGAAACTCTCAGAGCATCGATCTTCCCCAAAAACTTATCGCTTGATAAGAAAGCACGATCATATGAGATCATCATAGTGTTCCTGGATCTGGATCAGGAACTGGAACTCCCCCCCCCAAAATAGAACCAACATATATTTCATCCTTATCAGAGGAATTGGAATCGCAACTAGATCTGGAACTAGAACTGGATCTCCCCCCCACACAAAACACATATATGAATTTCATCATAGGAATTGACATGACAACTCAAACTGGAAAAATAATTTGATCTAGAATTGGAACTGGATCTCCTCCCCCCTCCACACAAAGAACATATTGTACAAAAATTCATCGTAGGAATTGAAATGACAACTAGAACTGGATCTAGAACTAGAAGTGGACCTGGAACTGGACAGCTGCCAGCTCTTTGACAATGGATATGGATCTGGAACACTTCCAATCACCTGGGGCACACTCTGCATGGTGTAGATGAAGGTACCTAAGAGAAGGCGTCGTTTCAATACTTTGTTGATCAGTGAAACATAGCATCCAATCGGTGGATCCTTCCATTGTGTATAGCATCATAGATCAACTTCATCTTGGATTCTTGGATTCACATTAGTCATTGTGGATTCTTGGATCGCTTCATAGAAGCCTGTCACATTAGTTAGAAGCGATGGTTCTCTTTCGGCCTTAGCTGTCCACGCTTCTGCCCAGGCAGAGCGCCCCGCACCAGGCGGCAGCCGACCGAACCGCGAGATGGCGGGGCAGGGCCTGGGCTGTGGCTTGGAGGAAGAGCTGGGAGCGGTTTGTGTTTTCTGCTTCTTTGACCTTTTGCAAATATTTGATGTGCAACTTAGATCAATTATACTATATCGTGTGTACACAAGGTAAATATAGTCTACACAGAATCGACTTCAAGAAGAAATGTGCCCCGCCTTGTGTTCTAGCTATTCCCAGACTTCACACACTCAAGGTATTGCCTCTGGCATGGGAGGGAGTGCTCCCATTGGCGGGTCGTTGACACGCTCGATGTTGGCGGGCATGATCGGATGCCTGGCGACGTTGCGATGTGGAGAGGTTCGATCCGAAGAGAATGGTGAGATGCCAAGGTCCAAACCTCAGGCACATCAAGTTCTTGACTCTGAATAGGCATTGAATGGGGCATGTCAGGTTCTTTTGGCACGGCGCTCGATCCGCAAGCCGTCCTGAAATTGTCCAAACAGGTCTCCCGCGGCATTTCTGGTCCAAAAGGGACCACTCCAAACAGAGGGAGGGTTTTGGAACTGAAGTGCCGCCAAAAAGGGCCATTTCTATTTCCTCCCCAAAGGGATCCCCCAAAAGTGGCTTGGTCCGGACGCAGACGGTGAGGCGGAGTAGAAGATGGAGAGCCAGAGCCGGGCTTCGCACGCGCCCGGACATTGAACCACAAGAGGACCACTGAAAAGGAAGCAATGTTTGGCCTCAGAAGTTCCATGAGAAAACGCATGAAAACACATTAGCAGCCCCAAAGCCAAACAAAAGATATTGTTGTTTGAGACCAAGCCGTGCCTTGGCTCAGGGGCGGTTCTATATTGTTTAATTAATTAATCCCTACTCGTGATTTTTTTGTCAACGGTTCCGGAGATTTAAAAGAAGGAGGTGACGCGAGCCAAAAAAACGATCATTTTTCTTGGCGCACATCCACAGAATGAAACACAAACATCAACAGAGAACAATGGCTGTTGCTTTGATGCCAGAAGTACAATGATGATAAGTCACAAGCTAGCAGAAAAGTGCTTTGAAAGTACGCTCTTGGTTGGGCTTTCTGGTTGTATTTGCGGCTGTGTTGACATTAGAGAAAGCAAGGCCTTTTTTTGCCTTTGCCTTTGCGAGTGCCAAAGAAAGTGTCTCTTCCGTGGCCGCTGTGCATTTAATTAAGGTTCATGGCAGTCGCCGGGTTAAAGTCCTGTCCCTGAGAAGCAGCAAAGTCAAACTCCGCCATGAGTTCATGAACAAACTCCCAAAATTCAGGGGGCATGACCTTATTTCCGACTGCCGGGAGGGATTTTTCAAACACCTCTCCCAACATCTTGCAGAGTCCACCAGGGTATTCCTTCAACTCCGTGGTGGCCCAAGAGCCATCGCACTTTCGACCTACCGCCGTGCGCTTCGGCAGGGCGGAACACCGGCCTCGCACAATGATCTCTTCAATCTGCGCTGTCACATTGGTAAAAAGTAATCTCGTTGGTTTGGGCGTCTTGCCCCCATAGTGTCCCTGGAGCAGGCGGTAACTAGAGCAATTCGAGAAGCGGTGGAAGGTTCGAACAATCGGAAGCCGCCAAATGGATGCTGCCTGTTCATTGTGCTCATCCTGTTCAGGGTGTTCAAGCACAGCCACTGATCCGCTGCAAATCGAAATTGCTACAAGTCGTAGGGCAACGCCCAACAGTCCGCTTCCTAGTGCCACTTGCTGGTGCTCACGAAAGGTCATGTCCAATCGCCCCTGAGGGCACGTCCTGGTTCGGACGACTCGAGGATGCCGGCCTCCCTCGACAGCAACAGCTCGGGCCTTGGACCATGTTTCACATGGGGGGGCCTGCTACGAAGCCCTTCAGCCATCCAGCATATAATGCACGCCGGAAGAATTGGAAGGTTTCGTGCCGCAGCAAATTGCCTTTCACTTTGTCGAATATAATGTCAATCGACAAGGGCTTAAAGCCCTTCTGTTCCAGGATACTTTGGAGGTCTTCCGATCTTCGATGTCCAGAAAACAAGTGCGCAATGACATGGACTTCAAAATCAGGCAGCGCCGCCGCAGGACGAACAAGCACATCCATGCCATCTGCCTCCCTTTCAAAGATTTCTCCAGCTTTCTCACGGGCCGCAGCACTTTGAAGCACACCATCTAAAATCCAATCGGCACAAAATTGGACTCGGTAGCTAGCCAGCTGCTGCAGTGTTGCCAGATCAACCTCTTCATGATTTCCTGCCCAGTCTTCTAACCACCTGCCAAAGTGCTCAATAACTTCCTTCGGAAGGAGCACCGTTCCAGCAGTGGCCAGTCTCAGGCTTTCTAATATGTCAGTTGTTGTCTCACATGCAAGGTCAGCAGCTGCACTCCAGGCATCGTAGAGCGCATCATATTCTGCTTGTTGTGGATGCACTAGCGATTGTACCGACTGTGCTCTGCACTCATGAGGCCCTTCAGCTTGGAGGTAGGGGTCATGCCACTCTGTCAGTTTGGCTGAAGCACCCCTGCTGTTCACTCCCGCCTGAACCTCAACGATCTGACCTCGTGTGAGGTAGAATTGCTTGCACAGTCGTTTCCTCTTGACGTGATTAATCAAGTTGATGTGGGTGGAGTAATGTCGCAAGCAGGCCTCGCATTGTTTCCCCAGGACGAAATGTCGCACCTCACAAAGCCTGCCATGCTTCTTGAAGGCATGGACCGTCTGAGCCGCCACACTAGTAAACCGCATTTTGCACTTTGCGCAGAAGTGCTCAAGGTCATTGGTGTGTCGTTCACTGAAACAAACTCCTTGCTCCCTCAGTTCTTCAAGAACATCTTGATGCCAACGGTTCCATTGATGCTTTCTTTCCAAACTTGCCACATGCCGCTTGACTACCTTTCGTATCAAGGCCTTCCATCTGCCAGCTGACTCTCCAATATAGGCAACGATATGATCCCATGTCTCAGCATTCATTTGTGGCAGTTCAGCCTCAGGTGCCAGCTCTCGTAGCCATTCGAAACCAGCAACGAGTTTAGCTATCCACTGTTGTTCCATCTGTAACAGTGTCCAGAGGTGTGGTGTACCATGGTTCACCAATTGCAAGCAAAATCTCAATCGCGCCTCGCGCAAAAAATCTTCTGCTCCCGGGACACCAAGTTCAGTTTGGATCTTGGTCTCTTCCCACTTCAATGCAGCTGGGCCAAAATGCAAAATAGCAACTCTTTTCAGCAGCTTAGCATGGCCTTTGCGCAGACACTCTTTTTCCCTTCGGGAAGTCAGCATCCATCCTGCGGCATTGAAGTGCATGGCACTGAAGACCAAGCTACCAAGAAAGCTGATTTTGGTTCGAAGGTCCATGCCCTTATTCCCGAAAATCTGAGTCTTGAAGCTTGTGATGACAGAATGTGCTTGGCCAAAACGAACTTTCAGATCAAGCATAGCCTTTGCACCAACACTTAGCCATGTGCCCAAATGCTTATAAGCCGGGACCGCTCGCAAGGGGGTTGCAACATGAACTGACTGTGTTGGGATCAGGTTGTCATGGAATAGCAGATCCCTTCGAGCTTCCAATGTTCCGCAGCCTTTGTAGTCGATGAGGACCTCAGTTTTGCCAGCTTTGAGATTTGGCTGGAGCCCAGCGCTCGCAAGCCTATCGAATAACAGGCCAGAGACTCGCGCCACAACTTGGGTCAAATCTGCAGGCGTTGGAGCATGGACTGCCAGCGCCAGGTCATCTGCCCATACCGGCATGACCAGGCTAAGGTTGGCATTGCCTTCAAGAATTGCAAAGGGATTCTTGCACCGGTCCCATTGCAAACTCAGGTGTGGGAATTGTCGCAGGATTTCCGTGTCGAATCCCTGTAAAATTTTGCTGAGAGCAAAAGCAAAACAGAGATCTGCTAGCGAGTCTCCTGGACGTGAACCTCGGTGTGTTTGCGTCAGGGTTGGGCAGTCATTGACAATGAACCAAGTCCTGCAGTAAAACTCCTTGAACAAAGCCCGTACAAAGGGCGAAGCTTGTGTCCTATCAATCGCAGGATGGTCATGCATCTGTTGCTGGAACTCCATCCATGCGGATGTCGGCAATCCCAACTTCTGGAAAATCAGGTGCAGCGTGTGTTCATGCTCGCCATATTGGATGAAATGCTCACGGACCAAGCGATAGAAGGCGCTGGCTATGTCAACAAACAAGATACCAACACTATGCTTCTGCCGTATCCAATGACGATGGTACAGGTTTAGGCACATGGTGGCTTGCATAGTGGCATATCCAGGCATGCCTCCGATCTGCATGGGAAGTCTCTCTTCGAATGCACGGACCAGGTCAGGTCTGTATGCTGCATGCAAAACCTTCCCGATCGGACTACTTACGAAAAGTGACCTGTAGCTCGCGCAGTCGCCAGGGGGCCCCTTTTTGTAAGCTGGGACTAGCCGCCCGCCTTTGTAAAGTACTGCCTCCTGAAGCTGTGTCACCTGCTTGAGGTATAGCGGAAAGAAAGCCCTTGCCAGGGATGCCGGGGCTCCACTCAGCACATCACCCGGTATTCCGTCCAGGAAATAGGCCTTCCCTCGCTTCGTAGTTCTGAAGTAGTACTCAATCTGAGGTAGCGTGGGAAGATCTTCCCATGTCGGCCGGGGATTCTGCAGGCTCGGACTGTGCTCGAAAAGCTCCTCAAGCTGTATCGCTTCACCAGCCTCTTGCTCGCCAAAATGTTCTCGCCAACGTTCCGCAACCTCAGCATAGTCAAAAAGAGGACAGCCATGCTTATCGCTGACAATCGGCAGTGGTTTGACAGCTGACGGTTTCTTCCTGCTGCGTACACCAATCGACTTCAGTTGTTGGATGAAATCATGCTGTGTCATCTCCTTCTGCCGGCCTGCCAGCCCTTCCAACATAGTTGTCCGATCTTGCTTCAGCGCTTTGGAAAGGTCTCTCCCAGGGGTCCCAAAGGGGTGCCCATAAACCACTCACTTAAGGGAAAATCCATTTGGCACCCCTTGGATCCTCGACTTGTGAGCATTGGACTTTTGACCATGATAGTCATGATGTTGTACGATCCATGTTAACGTGTTACTTTCACTTGTGGATAGGGTGTTGATCATCCACATGGACAATGACCATATTTATCATACATGGAGGATTGAATCCTAGGATTTGAGGACACTGCGATCCACCCACCATCCGGCTGCTCGCCAAAGGTGTCATCAGGTGTCATCCACTGCGCCTGCCGTGGAGACTCAAGGAATGGGCACTGCGCACGATGTTTTCACTAGACTCCACACCCCATGAACAAGGGTTTCAATTGCACAAACAACCCATACAATTCTCGTATCTCAC